GCAGCTGACAGTCTACAGGAGCAGCTCGAATGGCTTGCGATCCATGCTTCGAACCTGACTGCTCCACAGCTTGAAGCGGCCACAGCAGGAATTCAGGCGAAGCAGCACACCACCACAAGCGCCATCAGCTCTCTCCAGGATGAAGTGAAGGCTCTGTCTGACCAGCTCCAGAGCTGCAGTATTCTGCATGGTCCATGTGAGGCCTCACTGGACAGAACTCTGCAGGAGTACAATATTTGTCGCCAGCGGTACCATGTGGTGCCTTTATCGGCAACCATATTCACCATGCCCTGCAGCCACCAGTGGTTGCTGCTTTGTCAAATGCGCCTCTGATTGTCGCCTCCACCACAGAGAGAGAGCAGCGCCTCCATCCGTTCTCGACCAGGCCAGAGTAGTGGCAAAGCGGTATAATGACCTGCGCACTCAGTTCTCTCACTGCCGCAGAAGATACTCGTCCTGCGCAACAATGTCAGCAGAAGATATTCAGCTGTTCGAGAGTGATTGCGCTACCTTCCTCTCCACAGCACCGCAAGAGATCGTCACCAGAAAACTTGGCCATGTAACGCCTAAGCTTCATTTGCTGGAATGCCATCTGCCTGACGCCTTGGCAAGATTCAGAGTTGGCCTGGGCCTACTAGCTGAGCAGAGAGGTGAAAGTATTCACGCCGAGTTCAACGACCTTCGCAAGCGATACGGAGGCGTCGTGAACGATGTCGACAAGCTACAGACTGTCTTGAAGGCTCACCTTTTCTCCACGCTTCCTCAGCACGCCAAACTTGTCCCTCAAAGGGCCAAGCGCAAGCGGAAGGCCAATTGAGGACCGTTTCAGGTAAGTTCCTTGCTCAAACGATATCCCAAAAATATTGTTTGTTAGGCCACACTGAAGAAGGTCTGTGGTTCGACTCACCCGACCGACCGTACATGTTTCAGCCCGACCGTAACTTTTTTTCGGCGGGCTGTCGTGTGACTGACGTACGTGGACTGAACACGTCCACGTCTACGTGTTGTGCAGCATGAGTCTGCGGACGCAGGCGGCTCCTTTTGGACTTGACTTGTAGTTGTACTGCAGTGCAGTGCAGTGAGTGGTACGACTGCTGCCTTGTGCTGGTAGTAGAGTCTACTCGATACGACCACCGGCAGACTGGCGAGACTTATTTTGAAGTGACCGTCCGGTTGAGAGTGATTGCCTCGTTCCAGATTAAGGACGGCCTTCTGTTTTGGGATGAAGGACAGACGAGATTGCACTTTCCTCGTGTATTGGGAACGATAGTTCACCTGTACCGGTAAGTTGCTGCTCCATGTGTGCAAGCACCGGAAGCGTCGATGGAAAAAGCCCATGTATTCGTGCACGCCGACACCAAACTAGCAATACATGTACCGGTACATTGTACAATTTGTACTTCGATTGAGTTCGAAGTAGTTCCCGAACTTACTTTCAACTCGCATCGTTCTTCATTTGCTTGATGATTTGGACAGTCAGAGTCACCGCTTGAAGTTATTCTCTTCTCGTTCCAGAGCTACACAATGTTTCAAAGTATTAGCCAGTGATCCCTTTATACAACATGTATGGCATAACACTGCGTAATAATGCCGATGTACTGGGTGTCTAAAGGCAGTACAGTGTATTTACATGTACTAAAAAATATATTAAAAAAAAAAAATCCGCCCGCCCGCCCGTAAAAAAATGTCCATGTTAGTCGAACCACACACCTTCTTTAGTTTGGCCTTAGTTGATTTTCAAATAAATTTAATTTTTGTGGGTCCGCTTTTGGTGCACACATGATTGTTTGCGTACGCGTGCACACGCGTTATGTTTATTACTATGGAAACTCGAAGAGTTTTTGCACGTGACGTGATTGCCGCCATCTTACTGAGTGGCCAGCAGGGAGTCGTACTCAAACTAGGGAGGTGACACGGCACAGAAATCCGTGTCACAGGGGTTGACTCGCACCCGTGACCCCTCGTTGTTATTTTTGGAATAGTTCAGTCCAGTCCAGTCCGAAAGGTCATACTCGGATCGACTCGCCTTCTGTACTTCACCTCCAAGCGTGCAGCATGGGTGTCTAGTAGGGGTGAAACGATTAGTTCGAATATTCGAGTATTCGAAATTTTGCACTCGATCGTTTTTTTTTTTTTTTTTTTTTTTTTTTTTAGTACTGGCATTCTATTTTTCAAAAACTCCTGTTGTACTGCTCATCAACTGGTATGCACGCATTATTCGTGCCTTTGAGTCAGTATTTTATGACTTGGACGATGCGATCACCACGGCAAGTAACGTCATTTTGTTTTGAGATAATGAAAGTACTGGTGAAAATCGTTACTTTACACTCTGTACAAGACGTTGGCGACTTTTGTTCTATGTTCACAGATAATTTCTTCCGAATTAGTCGAGAACTCACAAATCTAGCGCTTTTGAATTTCGATAAAATACTCGAAATAATCGGATACTCGATCGAATATTATGAATGAGTGATCAGTTGGTCAAAATAGATACTCGTTTCACCCCTAGTGTCTAGTTTTTGAAATTATTGAGGCAGCACATGGTTGAAGAAGCGGTCACGTGGTCCTGGGTGCCCAAATCACCTGGTCACCACGCCAGCAGGTGACAACTTTCACACCAAGGTTCAACTCGGGTTCAACTCGAGTGACAGGACTGCACCCAAAAAAGGTCAAATAGGCTAGTAAGTTGTACCCTGCAGGCACGGTGACCAGGTGACTGGTGTACGCAGGAGCACGTGACCGCTTCTTCAACCATGTTCGATTGGGAATAAAGGAGGAACGCTGCATCGCAGCCTTTTCGGACCAAAACCAGTCGACTCAGTGTCCAAAAGACTACAACATATGGGCCAATCGCGGTCATCCGTGCTTTTATAAGAACGAAATGGCGCTTTTAGTGACATTTTGCATACAAATCCCCATCTAGTAGGGCGCAGTCACCCAGTTTCGGTGGAAGTGCGCGAGTTCGATTGGGATTCAAGTAGGAAGGGAGCGTCTCAGCTTTCTCGGACCAAGACCATTCGACTCAGCACCCCGAAGACTACAACTGGTGAAATTTTAATTTTTGCCTTAACTTCCCCTTTAGGTACCATATAAGAGAAGTACAGCCAGTGATATTGTCATGTTGAAATACTACAATTTTGACACAAATTACACATAACACGAAGCCAGGTTTTGAAAAATGTAAGCCGTCAATCTGCCCCATTTTCTCTTTATGACTTGCACAATGGTCCAGTCTGCCTAAATAACACATTTATAACAGGGGTTATGTACCATATTAGAGAAGTACAGCCAATGATATTGGCATGTCTAAATATTACAATTTTGACACAAATTAGACATAACACGAAGCTGGTTTTTGAAAATTGTAAGTCGTGTATCTGCCCCATTTCTTCTTTATGACTTGCACAATACACCAGTCTTCCTAAACAACACATTTCTAGCAGGGGTTAAGTACCATATAAGAGAAGTGCAGCCAGTGATATTGTCATGTTGAAATACTACAATTTTGACACAAATTACACATAACACGAAGCCAGGTTTTGAAAAATGTAAGCCGTCAATCTGCCCCATTTTTTCTTTATGACTTACACAATGGTCCAGTCTGCCTAAATAACACATTTATAACAGGGGTTATGTACCATATTAGAGAAGTACAGCCAATGATATTGTCATGTCTAAATATTACAATTTTGACACAAATTAGACATAACACGAAGCTGGTTTTTGAAAATTGTAAGTCGTGTATCTGCCCCATTTCTTCTTTATGACTTGCACAATACACCAGTCTTCCTAAACAACACATTTCTAGCAGGGGTTAAGTACCATATAAGAGAAGTACAGCCAGTGATATTGTCATGTTGAAATACTACAATTTTGACACAAATTACACATAACACGAAGCCAGGTTTTGAAAAATGTAAGTCGTCAATCTGCCCCATTTCTTCTTTATGACTTGCACAATGGTCCAGTCTGCCTAAATAACACATTTATAACAGGGGTTATGTACCATATTAGAGAAGTACAGCCAATGATATTGTCATGTCTAAATATTACAATTTTGACACAAATTAGACATAACACGAAGCTGGTTTTTGAAAATTGTAAGTCGTGTATCTGCCCCATTTCTTCTTTATGACTTGCACAATACACCAGTCTTCCTAAACAACACATTTCTAGCAGGGGTTAAGTACCATACAAGAGAGCTACATTGTACATCTAGTCATACTGTCATAAACAGCCAGCATTTTTCCTGCAGCAGTCACACCACCATCATCATTATTTCCAGGGAAATCCTCTTACATTGTCAGCTCCTACGTCGTTAGATACAATGAAGGGGGCTGTAGGACCGGCTCGTCAAAAATAGAGAACCTGAACAAGCGTGCTCGGGACGTCTCAGCAATCGTAGTATGCTTGAGCACTCCTATAAAAACTTGATCAATGGCAAAATCGTTCCCCACAGAAAAATCATACTTTGCGGGTCTTGCGTTGCACGCTTGGAGGTGAAGTACAGAAGGCGAGTCGATCCGAGTATGACCTTTCGGACTGGACTGGACTGAACTATTCCAAAAATAACAACGAGGGGTCACGGGTGCGAGTCAACCCCGTACCCCTGTGACACGGATTTCTGTGCCGTGTCACCTCCCTAGTTTGAGTACGACTCCCTGGTGGCCAGGCGCAAACAGCAATGCGATGCTGTTTCGGCGCGGGATTTGATTTTTTACTTACTAGCGAGGTTTATGTACAAGTGAGAGTTGTTATACCGAGAGCAGACCTGTACAAAGCAACTTTCCTGCATTTATCGTACTTTCACCAGCCAGTCGTGCAAGAGTACAAACTTTGTACGACTCCCTGCTTTCAAACATCCCCTTGTGTAATTGCCCACTATATCACAAAAAAAGATGTAATCCAGGACGTTTTCATTGATATCAACCTATGCGAGGTAAGATCCAAGAGTCTGTTTGCTGAAGGCAGTTTGAGCAAGAACAACATTGATTACTTACTGAAACAGATGGGTGCACCAGTTATCTTCATCATAAATGAAGGAAGATTAAGTAATGAGCTATCTGTAACACTGTGGAGAACGGAACCACTGGATGTTGGTTGTATCCAAAATTGTCGTAGCCACTTGTCAGTTGACGTGTAGGACATGTAGTATCTTGGTTGAGAACGAAAAGTAGGACTTGTCATATACTGCTTGAGAAACATGCTGTACAAGGTGCTGCTGAAAGATGCGGAAAACGACCATGCCTTATGTAGCATATCCCAAGATATTAGTGAGAAACCCAGGGACTGGCAGAGATCCTTCGCCCGGGGTGGATTCATGATTGGAGAGCTTTTCCATAATATGGCGATAGTAAAAGATCCGTCAATGCTCGAGTTGTTCCATATAGCTGCAGAAAGGAATGAAAATTAATAAGTCAGGAGTTTGTGCATTTTTCGGAAGTTTGTGCCTTTTTTCTTATTATTCTTGTATCTTAGGAAAATAGAGGCCACATGCCATGTATTGCTCTTTTCTTTTCCTCTACTCTCCAGAAAGCACACTACTCTATGAATGCTGGGTCTTGGTTACCGTACTTCCGCACATATAAGCGCATGTGCTTATGTCTGGACATAAGCGCATCTCCCCCCCCCCCCCCCCCCCGCCCCCCAACTATTGGTGAAACACCCGTAAGCTGAATATACTGCTAAGCATTGTGATATGATTATCACCGTTGTTTAGGACACAGACAAAACCTTTATTGCACGTGTAAGCGCATGGGCTTCTACCCGAACATGTTCACACAGTAAAACATCTTTTTTGTAGCAAATTTTCACTTATAAGCCCATGTGCTTATATGTGGGGAAGTAGGGTATGTTGGCCAATGGCAGCAATGGAACGCTCGTGTGAAGCATGGCTACCCTTCTTACTTGTTGTTGAGCTGCCTACTGGCACTGTTGTTGACACTGCTGGCACTGCTGGCACTGTTGTTGGCACTGCTGTTGGCACTGCTGTTGGAGGTGCTGTTGGAGGTGTTCCTTGCTTGACAGTCACATTGAACAAGTGCAGCAGTGTCTGCTCCACATACGAGTGAGTGTTATGCTGATTGAGATAGTTCACTGTTAAGTGATAGGTGCCAGAGTCGCGCCTTGCATTCGGGACATTGAAGCACACTTTGGCCACATCTTGCTGCGATGAGTCCCGGTGCAAGAACAGTTGAACTGACTGGTCACTGCTGGAAACGAGAGTTTCGTTTTTAAATAGACGTATCACTCTATCCGTGACGGGAACCTGTTTACCGGGGGACAGTGCAACTGTGAATGTCGCGCAATCCAAGGATTTCCCAGAATAAATGCTGACAGAGCGGTATCCTTTCACAGTCGCATTCACATTAAGGCCTATGACGGGGCTGGTCTTCCAAGCAGCCAAAGTGGCATTCGCTTCTGCAGGATACAGGTGATGCAATGAACAATCAAAATTAATTACACTAATCACAGGTTTGATGGAAAACATTTTCGAGAGTTGCATATCATTTTACCCTGCAGTTTGGACACCATTTATCATGGTGATGTTTATCTTCAAGTTCCAGGGAGCTATTAAGATTATTCATAAGTTTGACGGACAAAAAAGGGTAAATAACGTGAGAAGAAAAACTTGAATGCCAGCGATGATGTCCAGTAATGGGGTGATTATACTGTATAGGCAACTCCAGCCTGGGCTGGTGCGAGCAGGCCAGCTCGACAAGAGTGCTCGCCAGCCCATTGTGAGTTTACATGACATGAACACAATACTGATACATACATAGGCAAATACGTGTGACTTCATCAACGTTTGCATGCATAATTTCGACACCATCGCTTACTAGACTGCAATAAAAGGTGTGGAAGTCAGGCGCGTGCTCGGCGATGGGCACGGGGGGCACGTGCACCCCCCAAAAATTTTCAATCTGGGTAATTGCAATTGTAATGTATGCAAATATGCTCTAAAATTCAAGAAAGGTTGCAAACAAATTGCAGAAAATTGCCGGGGGGGGGGGCTCCCCTCGGCTCCCGTGCACCCCCCTAGTTGGGGGGCCGAGCACGCCCCTGGAAGTAGTTTCGTGATCTCCAGGAAAATGTAGCACTGAGTGACCATCACCGAAAGACCTTGAACTACTGAAGAAACAAAAACTCAAGCTTCAATTGGCTAACCTGCCGTAGCATTAGGGCGCAATTCGTACTATATTGTAGTAGATTTGGTACTACAGTCAGACCTCGCTTAACCGCACACATCCGTTTTCCACAAAAATATCCGGATAGGCGAGGTAACCGGATAACTGAACACACATACATTACTGTACATGCACGTGGCACATCACAATGGGCGGCATCGTACATACATGACTCTGGGTCCTAAATAGAACAACTAGCATGCACGATATGTAAAAACAAGAGAGAAAAGTGACAAGTACATTCAACTGAGTGCTATCCACATACATGCAGCAGGTCAAGGACCTCATTTGTTTGTACAACTCCCTGATTCTAGCTTCTGCAAGCCACGTGCAACCGGATGCGATGAAGCTTTTTGTACATATTTCGACCAGTTTGCACACAAAATCATGCACCGGTATGCGGATCGCGAGGCTCGGTTATGTTGTATGCGTAACGTATGATGCACATCGGGAACCAGTGATTTTCTTCCGGATGGCGAGGGATCCGGATAAACGAGGTCTGACTGTACAGTGCTCGAACCGTATGTGCAATGGATCGGGAGCTGGCTCACAGCCAGTGCTTCCCGGCGCCGATTTGGCTTATGCGAACCAACCCATGCTGTCATGGGCCACATGTCAGCCATGACTTGCTGCTTGCATAGTGCGAGTGCATTTCTGTTACAGGTGGAATCCTGATAATTCGAACCTCGAAATGCCAGGAAAAAACTTCTACTTATCCAATCACAACACAATATGTGTGTCAAAATACTCTCATGGTCATGCAGAGATGCGCTATGGACCTTAGCCTAGACTGGCTGCTGCTTGTTCTACTATGTCACGCTAAGTGTGAAGTTTTGTATGTAATTGCGGCATTTGACACTAGTTCGTTTCTTCTTCAGGCTCTTTGGGTTGTTGGCATTGTTCAATATTGTAAGTTTGTCGCTTCTGCATAGGTTGCACCTTTTGACTTGTTGGAGTACGCCCGTGTCTTTGTGTGGATATGCCACCGAACAGAGAATGGCGTCCCCGCACGCTACAGGTTCCACACATGGTTTGACAGGTCAGTTTTGCTCTGGCACCGTTCGTGGCGGAAGCTCATTGTGTGATTATCGTACCGGTCCTTGACAGGAGGCTCGGTCAGTCCGGTGTACTCTTTGTCGTCGTTTACTGTTGCTTGATACACTATCATCAAAATTCCGCCATGAAAACAAATATTACATACAAAACTTCACACCTAGAGTGACATAGTAAATAAATGGCGAGGACAACAAGACATTTTTGGCCTGCACAACTCCACATTTGTTTGATTGGACCTGAGACTGGAATCGAATGATCCAGGCAATAGATCGGGATCCAGATCAAACCAATCAAACATACTCTACAATGTAAGTAATGGAGTGCCATGTAGGTGCTCGTCTTTGAACAGAGTATTTTAGCCCCTCTTATCTCACTGTTCACCTTTCTCACCTCTTTCTTTCTTTCCTTTTTTCTCTCCCCTCTTGCATGCTATTTCATCGCTAAATTCATCACTTGGCTGGAATGTTCACCCCTTGCGATGCTATTTATCCGTACTGCTCCTTGGCTATAGTTGCTTGTAAGTCACTTGTAGAGAATGCCAAAGAACTTCACTCACCAGAAATAGCCACTGATAAAATCTGGAGAACAAGTTCCTGGCAAAACGAATGTGTGTCTATCGGTTGCGAATTGGTTAAGTTTCTTTGGATTATCAGCATTGCCTTCTTGTCTTCAAGTAGAACGATCAAATTGGACTTGACATTTTCATTCACGTCAGAATGTCACAGCAAGCCATGTGCAATGCGGTTATGGTGTGTGGTAATGTCTGCATCGATTCTACTCTAGACTTTTCAAGCCATATAATTATGTTGGAAATGGGTCGCAATTTCCGCAATGTTTGACTATGTTTTCAATAATCCTTGCCACTTGTAGTACTTTAACTCCACGATATTTTCAATATTCCTCCGCAAGTTTCCGGAGGGACATAATAAAGGAAAAAGCAGATTGGAACCCAAGCCCACCACACTCTTAACCCGTAGCACCTAGCCACCCATTGCAGTACTGATGCTGAATCCAGAGGAATTTTAAATGGTGATCTTGAATCTAAACCATGTCCATATATACCTTGTGATGCGTGTACTATTGACCTGGTGCGGTGGGAAATCCCGTACCCGATATCTGCCGTCACCGCAGACACCGCCAGTCAGTGTTGCCCTCGTGCTCGCTCAATAATAGAGAGGTTCCGCATAACATAACGATGTACATTGCATGCAGATCTGTGTTCCGCCATACGTAGTTTTCGAATCATGTAGCTGCCCTTGGCAAATCGGAACGCGGCAGTGTACGACCCCGGGTCGACCTGGGGAGAGTCATAAATTTGTACCCCTACCCACTTACAGAGCAACAACAATATCAAATCCCTATCTACGTACTCTACATAGATCGGTAAGTGGAGTGCAAACTCGCGAAATCCTGGGTTTTTCACGCCCATTAATGTAAAGTTTCTCAACTTTACCTAGTGCGGAACCTCTCTAATCCATGCGTTAAAGCCATGTAACCGTGTGTAGAAGTGGCCATGCGATGTGAAACTCTGCTGTTGCACTGATGTATATAGATAGTACAGGCGGGTTAACAATCCTGGGGTGATGGACGCTTTGTATTACGCAGTGTCCCCTTTCTAAGTACATACGGCGTAAAGTAACAATTTGACTTAGTAATTACCGGTACACTTGTATTCATGCACGAGGAGTTTGATGGGTCAGTATGTATCGGCGGCATGTGCGTGACCAACCTACGTTTTGCGGATGATATAGATCTAATCGCATCGTCTGTGGAAGAGCTGATGGACCTGACCGAGCGCGTGGATACGAGTGCAACAAGACTAGGCATGCAGATCAATGCTTCCAAGACCAAGTCAATGGCAGCGCCGGAGGGCGGTGGTGATCTGGGGTGCATTCAAGTAGGCAATGAGCGAATAGAAGAGGTATCCCAGTTTAAATACTTAGGTGCCGTAATCACGTCGGATGGCAAGTCCGATGTGGAGATAAGAAGACGCTTAGCACTGGGGAAGCAAAAGATCATTGAGCTTCAATTCATTTGGAAATCGCCAACACTTTCTTTGCCTACTAAATTTCGTTTTGTTAGGTCTATTGTGCTAGCGACTGTTTTATACGGATACCAATCTTGGACATTATCTGCCTCATCAATGAGAAAAATTTCATCCTTCGAGATGAAATGCTTCCGCCGACTCTTAGGAGTAACATACCACGACCGGTGTACCAACCAATCTATCCTGGAAGAAATCAATGACATCATCGGAGCAAGGATGCGGCTAGCGAACGAAGTCAAGAAATTTAAGTTGATGTGGTTTGGCCATGTTACGAGATATGACGTTTTCTCCAAGCCCTTCCTGCAAGGATCAACTCCTGGATCTCGACCGAGAGGAAGGCCCGCGACATCATGGATTTCTAACATTAAAAGTCGGACGGGTTTTCCCTTGCATGCTCTCTCTCATGCAGCACACGATAGAGTTGGATTCAGAGACATCATGCACAATTCTCTCGCTGATTAATGCGTCTACGATCACCTTGTGATTATGAGTTATACATCCATACATACACGCACACCCGCGCACACATGGTTAAAGACCCTACCTTCAGAGGTGGCAGCTCTTATTTTGAACCAGAATACCGGGATATCACCAAATGGCCGCCTCAGGATGAAAGCGTTGGTAGTGCCTATGTCATTGGAAAATTCGACATTAGAGCTGTACATTTCGTATGCACCGTCTCCGTGACCTGTTAGAGTTGCACACCAACTCTGCTGGCTTCCTGTCCTCTTTAAGATCATCACTATCTGCAATGCCGTCTCGTTTAATTGCACCTTAGCGAGGCCGAAGGTACATTCCGGTCCGTCACTGTCACAGTCTGAGTTGGTGGTTGAATCTGGTGACACTGTCTCGTAGGCCAGTAGATTAGGAAGGTAAGTGTGCGACTCGATTGCGCTTTGAGAAGGGCTGTGTACGGACACTGGATCAACAAGAATCAAACAGGTAATGTACACGAACCTGATCAACAAACATTCCTTGTGCCATACTCTCATCTTTGCATGGACTGTACTGCTTTGCACATCGCACAGTCGTGAAACACAATTCAGATAAATGCCAAAATGTAGGAGTACTTCGAAGTAGTATGCAGTACTCATCCCCAGTGGCACAGCTCGTCCAACATTATTTGGAAGGGGTGGAAGGCGGTGTAAAGTTTCTTGAAGTTTCTTGAAGTACTTCAAGCAGTAAGTTTGTATTTAAAATTGAAGTGTACCGTAAAGTACCGTTGATCCCATGTCGCTTCCCAGCTGGGTTTTCGCCAGGGGGCGGGAATTAGATCAAGGCTGCCAAGTGCAGTACGATGTACAACAACGTAGAGGATCAGACTCAATGTGCTGGATTGTGCACATTTTCATCCTGGATTGGCACGTATTGTGTACTGCAGTGCATGCGTCAGTTCAACATCGTATTTCGTTGTATACCCCTAAGTCGCTTCACATGTAGAAAATCGACAGGGGGCGGGAATTAGAGAGAGGGCGGATCAACGGTAATTTACGGCACAGGTATACAGTTACAGCTGGCTACAAGTACAAGTGGACCATTTGCAATTACATTTGCTTCACAGCAACCGCTAAAGTGCAATCTTTGGGCCAATTGGGCCCAAACTTGCATAGGATGAACGGCGGTCGAAAAGATTCTAATGAGCGTGCATGCGTAATTCAAATAGAAGAAATCAAATGGAAACGAGTTATGAAGCAACTATCCACGACTGTATAAACAAAATAATAAGCAGTCAGAAATTGCGATAACAGGGCACAAAACTGACATGACATTATTACTGAGACATTCAACGACCTGAGACCCAGTTCTGACACACTTCAAGTCCATGTGATTTCTTCTATTTTAATTATATTTATTGGCTCAGTATCCGAGTTAAGCATGCATAATTCGTTAGTACATAGCATTTCCTCCATACCCACATTTCACCTACTGTAAATATACAAAATTTCGGCAGCTATTTAATTTCGGCTATATTCGGCACCGACCCAAAATGCCTAAATTAAAACGCCGATGAAATTTTTCACAGCATCTGTCGCACTATACCGTGCCCTCTACCCCACGCCGAAAATAAATCGCCGCCGAAATGTCAAAAAACGTGAAGTGCCTAAATTTTGCAGCGCCGAAATTTTGCCTGGTCCACACAAGCCACTATAGTACTTGAAAAAAGAAAGAAAAAAAAGGAAAATCGTATCGCAGAGTGCAACGGTGTGAGAACGTTTGTGTACTAAGGTCACACTAAGCAGGTTTTTGTGTGGCGCTCGTGCCCACTCAAAGGTACGGATTGTCTACAGTCAGAACGTGCACTATGTGTACAAAGTTTGTGTCGTATGACCTACAGACAGGACACCACCTCCGCGCGCAATACGACCACAAAAGGACGAGAAGGCGGGGCGCTCTGGCGGTTATTTACGGCAACCATGTATACTGTAGAATCTTCGCTGACTGTGACCGTTATGGCATAATTTTTATGTTGTTTTGAGGAAATCAATAATACCTCGCTCGATCCTGATGACCTGATCCCTAGTCGCGACCGCAAGAAATACTAAGAAAAGTTGAAAAAGTGAAAAATTCTGGCCCACAATCAAGTAATGCAGACTTTCGTTGATCACATAAACCGTATGTCACCGTATGGCCTTATATTCGAAACACCGCTGCTTTCAATCTCGGTCGCGCAGAACCAATAGGCTTCATTCTCAGGAACTCGGATTTTGTAATTTCCTCCTGCAATTTGAGTTTCTTAAGATATGATACTAGGTGTGCTTCCACTGTGGCTGTTCTATTGGCCCTGTCTCCATGCATGATAGAACAGCCACAGTGGAAGCACACCTAGTATCATATCTTAAGAAACTCAAACTGCGGGAGGAAATTACAAAATCCGAGTTCCTGAGAATGAAGCCTATTAGTTCTGCACGACCGAGATTGTATGGACTCCCTAAGATTCATAAGACATAGACATCTTGACCGCTGCTTTCCTAGCTATTTTAGATGCAAAACGACTCACCTACTACGCCATGTCATACAAGTTAAGGACCACACAGAAATTTCAATCTAACATGTTCACCCTTCCTGCTGGGCTGTAAGTTTGTTAGTATAGTACACTTTTACAAAACATGCTTCAAATATAAAATAGAGGAAGAAAACCCATGAAAACGAGTTATGAAGCAACTATTCATGAATGTAACAAGATAATAAGCGGTCAGTAAATGCGATAACAGGGCACAAAACTGACAGGCTACGGAGACATTCAGCGACCTAAGACCTAGGTCCAACACATCTCCAGTGTGCAAACCAAATCTTGTTACATTCGTGGATAGTTGCTTCATAACTCATTTCCATGTGTTTTCTTCTTCTATTTTACATTTCAGACTGTCTCATTATCCGAATACTTCAAATATCATTTCTTTTATAAGGAATTCAAGTCGGCAGGAATAGCGCAAGCTTCCACGTAGTGAGCAACACACAATTCCTCAATGAACGCGGAAGTCGCACCAACCTCTTCTTCACATTTTATAAAGCCCATGCCTTTATAACCGAGACTGGCTTTCT